ACCCCTCGCCCCCCCACCCCACCCCTCCGCTACCGGCCCCGTTTCCGAGGGGCGAGCTCTTCCCCAGTCTGGAAATCCCGGCCTCACCTGAGGTTGCCCAGCTGGTGGACGGGGTTGAGTGGGCAGATGAAGCCCTGAAGCGCCTCCATATAATCCGGCCTCCTCATCTGTTCCACCAGGAACTTCATCTGCATCTTGGGAGGCGAGTGCGGGAAGCGCAGAAGTCACCGGGAGGAGGAGGAGACACAGGCAAAATCAAGGGTGCCTCTGAGCAGCTGCAAAGGCCTGCCCTCAGCCGCTCTCAGCTCTCCTAGGGCTTTCCATTTTCCATCCACTTTCCCTATTTCTGTGGCCCTTCCCAGGAAAGAAATTCCTCCTTCGTAGACAGGACGAGGATCGGGCCCAGCCCTTGTGCCACAAAGGGGGGGGGGCGGATGGAGGGGCCCCCAGAGAATACCCCCTCTTTGAGACACTGTGAATTCTTGATTGAAAAAAACAATTTGTCCCCCCACCTCATTCAGCGTTTTCCATCAATGAACTTAGAATGTGTTATTTTAATAGATGAAACAACATGGCCTGGTTTCACCATTCTCCTTAGATGCGCCTCTTATTACGATCTTTTCCAGCCTCCCTACTTGATGTTTTAAAGTTCAACAATGCCAATATTTAACAAATGAATCAACCAGCGAATTAAATTTCTCAGCCCATTGAGATCAACCAGTTAGGAGTGTTTTAAAACAATTTACGATGAACACCGTCACGTTCCCAAGCTCAGCCATGTTTCCGTGCATGGGTGGGAAGGTATTGGCCCTTACCCGTGACCACACATGCCTTGCGACGGGGGTTGGGGTTGGAGGGAGGCCAAGCCATCGGAGGAAAAGGGCCCCCATTGGATACCTTCTGCGTCTCGTCCTTTTTCTCTTGCTTGAGGATGTCGGTGAGGTTGATGAGCTTCTCCATGGCCTCCACCTGCCGGTTGAGGTGCTTGAGGTACATCCCGCAGCCACGGCAGAAGGCCTCCAGCATCAGTCCAAAGCGTTGAGAGACCGGTTTGCTGTGCATTTCCGACCTGCGGGGGAGGCAACCAGTTCTGTCCCGGAGCCTGCTCCCTCACACCCCCCCCCTCATCTAGGTTCAAAAGATGGAGGCCAATTCAGCCCATCTCTTGGAAATGGTTGGGTTGGGTTGGGTTGG